TTAAATAGGCTTCCTGTTGAACAATAAAAGATTTGTCTATATTTCTGAGGTGAGGTGTTGTAATTATTTCAATTGTTTGGACTGTTGTCCTCATCTTCGTTGCCAGATTCACGACGTTCCGACCGTTGTACGCTCCATCCATCTTCAGGTGACTGGAATTCCGAACTGAACCCTTTATTTCGCCCACCGGGGTAGATTGATTTAGTTCCTCAAGTCCACATGGCCCAGTGGATAAAAGCGTTGGCTGAATCCAGTGACTTTATCCAAGGAGCTGTGAGTTGAATATCTAGCTACAGTTGAGGTGAAAAAAATTCGAGAGTTGAGTTAAAGGGAGGTAACTGACACTGAGACATCCGGAAGAGGCATGACAACTGGAAGTAGAACAATCTACCCCTGTGAACGAAACAAAGGATTCAGTTCGAAATTCCAAACACTGAAAAAGGCTGGAGTGTACAACGGCCGAAACGTTGTGAATATGGCAACGAAGATGAAGACAACAGGCCGAACAATGTAAATAGTTTTTGACGTACGGTGGCGGATACTACCTGATATAATTTAATGTCTAATATATGTTTTTGTGACGTACAGTGGCCGTTAATTATTAAGTATAACTCAATATTTCAATGTTAAAATAAAACAGTATTTAATTACAACCTCAAATAAATACTTAACAAGAACAAAGACGTAAAAGTCAACCAAAGATAATTAAGCATTTCAGTGAATACCTAGTTTGTAGCGCGGCTCGGCTTAACGTCCGGTAAATCCTAAATCAAAACCCAAGGCATCGATGCACAATAATTCACGCTAATTCGACTGGATAGTTCCACACAATAGTCACTCAATAATCACCGCAGTCAGTAGCCTGACACCGTTATTTATACACTCGTCGGAAAACATATATTCATAAGTCCAGAGTGTCTCACTCAAACCTCGGTGTCGGTAGTTACTCATTTTCTTCCTATCTGACAATATATAATAAAGAGGCATAAATAACTCACACTAATTCGACTGGATAGTTCCACTCAATAATCACTGCAGTCAGTAGCCTGACACCGCTAATTATACACCCGTCGGAAAACATATATTCCAGAGTATCTCGCTCGAACCTCGGTGTTGATAGTTACTCATTTTCTTCCTATATGACAACATATAATAAAGGGGCATAAATAATTCACACTAATTCGACTGGATAGTTCCACTCAATAGTCACTCAATAATCACTGCATTCAGTAGCCTGACACCGCTACTTATACACCCGGCGGAAAACATATATTCATAAGTCCAAAGTGTCACGCTCGAACCTCGGTGTCGGTAGTTACTCATTTTCTTCCTATATGACAATAGTATAAATAATAAGATTCAGTTATCAAAATTCAAACAAGATATTCAAAGTGATGTAGGTTTCATAAGCGATTTCACAAAGCTTAACAAATGTTCAATATGCCCACAATATACGACGCACATCAAGTCGGTAGTCCAGCACGCTGTAGCATGTCTTGCGTAACATTCTCCAGCGCGTCAGTGCGGACTTATCTGAATAATAATCTACCAGGAAGATGAACCGGGCGATAAGTGATAAAGTAATAGTGATAAAGACAATGTTCTGTTGAAATGGCCATCATGCTCTTCTGACTTGACTCCCCTTGTGATTTCCTTCTATTCGAATATACGATTGGACAGGTTTATATTTACCACCTCCATCTTCCTACAAGACTAGAACTTAGGCATAGAATCACTTTTCACATTTGTGAAGCCTTGTGAAATCGGTTATAAAAATTTACATCCCGCTGAATATTTTATTTGGATTTTGATAACTAAATATTTTTATTGATCACCATGAAGCCTATTTAATTTTGTTCACCTGGGACATGTAGTTACTCAGATATTCACATTTTAAATTTTGTCGTTATTTTTTTTTTTTTTTTTTTTTTGGTGACACTCTGTATTATGGCATTCATGGAAGTGTTCCCTCATCCTGTTTACAATCTTAATCTGGCTCCATTTGATTATCATTTGTCCATACTTTTGAATCCTTTTTAGAAGGAAAAGAGTTTATTAGTTGTGAAAAGGTTAAAACTTATATTTCTTTGTATCGAAAACAGAATTTCACGCCTGGAGGATCAACAAATTACTAAATAAATGAGATTATATTTTTGATAATGAGGATAAATATTATTTTGATTCAATTTATCAATTAAGACCAAAGAAGTATTTTCTTCATTTTCCATCTTAAATTGCAGCAAACAATTTTCTCAACCCAACACACAAACACAATATATATAACAAATTATCACGTAAATATTCTGTTTGACCATTGTAAATATGGCCACTTTAAGTAACTTGAATTTGTGTGTGTGTGTGTGTGTGTGTGTGTGTGTGTGTGTGTGTGTGTGTGTGTGTGTGTGTGTGTGTGTGAAAATATATAGAAAATAGGAAAGAATTCGTTAGGTAAATATTTCAAAGTTCTTTAGTATTTTTGTTATTATTTTCTAAAAAAATAGTGCTCGATACAAAAGTACAGCATCAATTAGAAATTTTGATTTTAATAATGAATATGCTTATAAAACACGTAAATTTGAGAAATAAGTTATTCAAAAAAAAAATTCGCTTGAAGATGGAACAGACCTCAGTACTTTAATTCAATTTAATTCAAATAATTATATTGATGTTTTCGGCTCTGGTTTTGAAACATGAGAACTCTTATGTAGCGTGTTGGAATCATATTTTTAAATAAATAATTATATATATATATATATATATATATATATATATATATATATATATATATATATGAACTTTATTTCAATCCTTCATGTGCCTCCGAGCCATAGTTAATTAATGATGAACCTGTCATTTTCATTTCTTCTCGATTTCATCACAATACTGCTGTTAAGCTTAGAGAGTAATTATATATTTTTATTGCTCAAAGTAGAGTCCAATAGTATTATTATATTTAAAAAAAAGACTCCGAGAATTCCAGATACCTTTAATCATTTCAGGGCTTAATCTAACAGTTAAACTGTTTTGCTGTTACACGACTTGGACAATTTTGATGTTACATCTGGCATATCTGAGTAACTGCCTATATTTCTGAGATGAGGTATTGTAACTATTTACACTATTTACATTGTTTGGACTGTTCTCCTCATTTTTATTGTCATATTCACGTTATACTCTCCGGCATTATTCAGTAGTTAAATGCGTTGGTTGAAGTAATCCAGTGACTTGACCCAAAGAGTTGTGAGTTCAATACCTGGCCACAGCAAAGGTGAACAAAATCTCGAAGAGTTGAGTTACCAAAGAGAAATAACTCAAACTGAGGTCCATTATCCTTATCTTTGTTGTTGTTATCATAACCTTTCGGTCGTTCTGCCCTCTGGCTTTCCTCAGGTGTATATCGATCCGGTTAACCTATAGGCAATTCTTAACTGATTCTTTATTTAATCTACGGGGTTTGACTGTTCTTGTTCTAGGGATGTCGTCTAGTGATATCGTGTAGTTCTTATTTTTGTTCAATTTTGCTCGGTTATTGCTCTCCGTTTCCACTGAGTGCAAATACACACTGCCCGACGTAAGGATTGAACCCACAACCACTATGTCACCAAATTCAAAAACCAACGCTTTGCCAGGAGAAATTGCTGTGGTGAAATTGGAGCTGTACACTTAACCTGCCTGCTGATTAGGTTGTAACTGCTGCTGCTGCTGTCTGTCATGTTTTGATTGTTAATGCTGACTGCGATTGAAGACTTTCTTTACTAACGGCTCTCTTACTGTATTTATTTTTTTACTAGGCCTCCTAAGGAGGTTCCCCTAGCCTAGCATATACGGCGATTCTTTCAGGCATCAAAAACGCTAGTGATCTTCCTTGTCCAGTATTTTCACTTCATTCTACAGGGTCTGATGACTACCCCTTTCCCTTCATACATAATTAAACATACCCGATTCCATTAGGCCGGACAGAGTGTATTTACACTAAATAAACATAAGAACTAGACGATATCCCGAGACTTGGGAAGTTCACTTCCGTAGATTAAATAAAGTGTTCAGTTCAGAATTCCCCGTAGGTTACCCAGATCGCTATACATCTAAGGAAGCCAAGTGGGTACAATGGCCGAAACGTTATGATAACAGCAACAAAGATGAGGACAATAGTCTGAATATCAATAGTGTAAATAAGGATAACTTCTCGTTTCAGAAATTCGGCCTTAAATTATAGAATTTTGAGTTTTTCTACACATGCTATTAACATTTGAGAGCATTCGAACAAGAATTAGTCAAGTTATTAGATTACGAAAGGATATCAATTTTTCTGATATAATGATCATATTTCTGATATAATGATTAATTTTTCTGATATAATGTCAATTTTTCTGATGAATAATTTCTGATATATAATAAGCCTGTATAATGATATGGGAAAATTTGGTTTAAAAGAAAGAAAAACAGTGCTATGTCAAATCTACTATAACTACCACCAAAAGCTGCCATCTATTTACATAACATCGTTAAATAGGTTAGTCGACGTTTCTCTTTACCTCTCTTGCTTTCATTATGTTCCGTGAGTGTCGAATTCTCCGAGCACTCTTTCCTCATTATGTGTCCAAGGAATTTCATTTGTCTCTTTCAGCTTCTAAGCCCAAGTGTCTTTTACATTCCAATTTTCCGTAAAACTTCCTTACTGCTCACATGTCCCGTCTATTGTATTCTCAGCATATATTCTGTAAAATCACATCTCTTTCGCTTCAAGTCTAATGATGTCTGAAAGGAAATTATCCAGCATTCAGTGCCATATTCGGACGATCCATACTACATGCGTTCAACACGTATTATTTTGGTTATACAAGAATTTTCCTATGTTTTAATACTTTGCTTAGTTCCTGGAAGGCATCTTTCCGTATTTCCAGAGCACCCTTCTGTTTGCATTTTCCGTCGTCTCTTTGTACATTATCCAGATAGGTAAATACATATGTGCTGATTTCTCTGTTCATCTTGCTTTCGATATGCTTTCTGGGGGTCAATTTCGATATTCCTTCTGGGGGTCAATTTTCTCTGTTTTTAACTAAATTTTCCAGTTTCTTAATACTTTGTTTGGCTTTGTCTTCATTAGTCCAAACGTTCTTCGAGTTTAAAGACAATCCAGTAGTTTTCGTTTTTGTAATTCACAGAGCATAAAACGCATCTGCTTGTATTTTTTTTTTACCTCTAATATGTTTTCAATTTGTGATCGGCAGGTCTGTCGCTGAAACTTTAAAACGCGGTCAACCAGTTGAGCCAGAAAGCTATCAACAAGTGACTATTTACTTCAGTGATATTTGTGGCTTCACGGCAATTTCTGCAGAAAGCACGCCAATGCAAGTGAGTACATTTCAACGGGGTTCTTTCTCTTATCTCAATTCTTTCAACGCAGAGGATATTCAAGGCGTCGCCATCACGTTAAATCGATCTTTACAACACACTGTACTTCGGAAATTCAAATTATACCTTCACATAACAGACCATCGAATTACCGGATAATTCAAGACATATTGTTTTTAAAAGAATAGGATCTGATTGCACTGTTTTATTGTTGTAGCATACCTACGGACGATAGTAGTTATATCCCCATTCACATAAATACAGTAGTAAATACTGTATGTTGGTCTGCAGTCGGAGATTCGTCTCCACCTGTGCTGGTCAAAGTCTCTGCCCGGGCAGAGAAGATCCTCAGACGAAGGTATGTCGAAGGGCAGCGTCTCTTCTCGGGAAACAGCTACCCGACCCCGTTTTATACGGGGTCTACGAGGAATTTTTGGCCTAGTCTACGGACTCGAATACCTCACAGTAAATTCGGTCTTGTGCCATATTTGACCACGTGGGATGGTTGGTAGATATCCTGCAGTCGGAGATTCGTCTACACCTGTGCTGGTCAAAGTATCTGCCTTCGGACAGAGAAGAGCAGAATCTCGTCTCGAGAAACAGCGACCCGACCACGTTTTATACGGGGTGTACGGGGAATTTTTGGCCGAGCCTACGGGTTCGGGTACCTCACAGTAAATTCGACCTTGTACCATATCTGACCGCATAGAGCGGTTGTTAGATATCCTGTGATCGTCAAATTCTCCGCCTCTTTAAAACAATTTCATTTGTGAATAAGTTCTGATAGTTTCATTAAAATCTAACAATTACTTGATTTTTGTAAGAATTTCTATATCAGTGCGTTTTTCATCGCAAAAAGAAAACGCTAAAATGTGCTATGCTAACTTATAGTCACCCCGCTAACCCAAGAAAAACAAAATTTCTAACGTTCTAAAAATGATGAAAAATTATAATTAAATAATCAAAAAATACTTTGGTATTTTTTCTTAATAACACAAAGATTTTGACGATAAAACCTAGTTTCTATCAAGTTTGGGCATTTTTTTCATCATGGCATACTCTTTTTTACAGGAATTAGTGGCGTTGCCTAATAAATACCGTGTAATATTTTTGTTGTAAATTCGCAAAACAAAAAATGTATAAATTTACTTTCATCATATATTTTAGGTTTTATTCCAATTCTAATCAGCGCTTTCTTTAAAACAATAAACATTGCAGTAGTTAAAAAAAACGGTGTCGTGTGAAAAACCGTCCTTTTTGACACTACGGGGTTTCTATAGCCAAAACCAGCGTTTTCAAATTCACCCACATTTCTCGCTAGGGTTTCTACGAATCTATATGTACTAGCTTAAGTTGCGTACCCGAACTGATAAAGGCACCTTTCGTATATAGAAATGGTTTCTCCTGATAGAAAAAGGGATACAGGTCCAATTGCTGTCAAAGGCACAATCTTTCTTTAGTAGGGCTTATCAATCTAGACCGGCTTCATTGTTTAAAAAAATGAAAAATAATAAAATACGTGTATCCACGAAAAGTAACATTTATAATAATCAGAAATAACGTCGGAGAAAATCCATTCAATATATATATATATATATATATATATATATATATATAAGGTATCCATAAAGTTCGTGTGCACTTTAAAATTTATAACTTTATTTGTATTTGCGATAGAAATAATCTGTAAAGAATGTTATAAAGTTTAATGTACCTAGTTTTAAGTATAGCTAAAATAACTAATGTGATTTCAGGCATTACTGTAAATCAGCTGGCAAATGTTTTCCGTGAACTGCAAAATCGTATTGCCCTTTGTATTGCCAATGATGGAGGACATGTGGAAACTTAAATAAAATTTCAATAAAACCTTAAAAAATATATATTTACTTCTTTCTAATCCATTTTACAAATTATTTCTATCGCAAATATAAATAAAGTTATATTTTTTTTCGTTTCACCTTGTGGAAGTGATGTCTGATGATCCAGCGTCCTTTAAAAGGAGTCTGGTGAAATAAATTATTACAATAGAACCTTAAAGTGGTCTGTTCTTCTTTAAATTATTAGCTCTGGATTTACATTGAGCTCTCAGGATTTCATCCTCCTTGGGGCTACCCATACGGATTACCAAGCTTTTCGTAACTTAATTATATATATATATATATATATATATATATATATATATATATATATATCGATATAGAAAATATGACAAACTGGAAAAGTTTATATGTGAAGCGTTTCATCCGTTAGGATTTCATAGGACTGGGCTTTGTTGACGTTGCCACGTTTAAGAGTACTCAGAATTTGAAGCCCTCAATATTTACACTGAGAGGAGAAATATATTGAAAATACATTCAAGACCCTTCACAATTTTGACGTAGGGAATGCTATTTTGATTAAAAACGAAAATAGTCCATTGAGACGAAAATGTCTGGAAAGTGGATCGATCGCTAGTTCAGGCAAGATAAATTTGCGTCCAGGTTCTTACAATATATCACCATTCTTGGTAGATTTTATATTATCACAATGTGGGAGAGTCAGGGACAAAAGCGATTGAGAGAAAAAGAAAAACAATACAGATGAATCTGGCTAGATTGAAAAAATATACATTCTTTCAAAAAATTTTGAAACTCCCTGCGTCTCTCGTTTCGTGCGCATGCGTAGACGTGGCTGCGTCAACAAAGCCCAGTCCGATGAAATCTTAACGGATGAAACGCTTCACAAATAAACTTTTCCAGTTTGTAATATTTATGTAAATATTGTTTGTTGATATATAAAATTATACAAATTTATATATAGTTATATCATATATCTATATACATATGTGTGTGAGTGTAACATTTCATATAGAATATATCTGTAAAAGAACAATATGAATATATTTTCTTTTGTCTTTATATATATATATATATTTATGAATAAAAATGACAATAGGAAAACTAGTAATTGTTGACGCGTTTCGTCCAATGTGGGCTTTATCAAAGCAAAATATGAAATGAATTTAATTGAACGAGGCAATTAATAAAAACAAAAAAAAAACAGAATGTTCCTAGCAACAATATGAAAATAGCGTTTCTTTACATTCCAGTTGCTACGAACATTCTGTTTTTTGTTTTTATTAGTTATTCTATTTTTTATTCTCTACTGGTTAAATCGGAGAAATTTTCATATATATATATATAGAGAGAGAGAGAGAGCAATCCGCTGTATCACGGTTCATCAGTGAGGGTAGGCATATGATTGCCTCACGCCAGGATCGTAACCCGAACGATTTGACATCAATTAGAGACCCTCAACCTTAGGCCATCAGCTCAGGCAGCGGAGAAAAGGAATTTTTAACACCTTACACACGAGATATCAGCATTGCCGGCTACCAGAGTGCTCACTTCATAGCGAAGAGCTTCTAGCGTTAATTGTAGCAGCCGACAAATTCCCTTTCTTTCCTTTTCCTATTTTGCATAATTCGCCTGTCAAATTTGTTGCATTTAACCTATTGTTCTGAAAAATGAGTCTTAAAATCTTTTTTGTGCTTAATAGCATGAAAATCTTGGTATCATATGGGTATTATATTCTGAGAAATGGTAAGAAATATTCAAAATTGATGGGTGTACGAATATGACTGTATGTGACCGTTTGTGCAGTTTCTTTTCTTGTACTCCCCACCTGTAGAATTGCCTCCGTGCTTTAAAAGTTCAAGTGCGACACCAACCGTCATATTTCGTCTTCCTGAATCATTAAAACTTTCATTATCAGTAACCCTAACAATCTTAAATGGCATTATCGCCTTGCTTGATGAGAAATGATTAAAAAAATAGTCGTAATAATTCTATTTTGTATTTACTCCCCCCCCCACACACACAAACGAGGTCAGGTTGTGACACTAGGTCGGTTCATGTGTGTAAAAATATTCAAAATTGATGGGTGTATGAATAATTTCGTCGTTAACTGTATAACATTTTTCAGCGCTAAACCTGGCTTAGTTTAATAAAGCTTCATATGTTTCTACTTGGTGTTGTTATTGCATTAAAATACCCCTTTTCCTGTTTAGGGTGGGATTTCTGGTTCCTTCTAAAATTTTCTCATAGTAAACTTTCTCCCAATAGTCCTTTGCGTCTTAGTGACATCATCGCTTTGCTAGGAGTGAACGGATATAAATAAAAACTTTTATATTTCATTATGCATGCAGGTAAAAAAAATATATTAAGAAAATAAAAGAAATATGACCGTCCTTTGCCAAGGATTTACAATGTATTGTCTATGATTTTGCACTTCAGGTGGTAGCCTTGTTGAATGATCTGTACACACTGTTCGACTCCATCATCCATAATTATGATGTATACAAAGTGGAGACCATAGGCGATGCGTATATGGTAGTCAGCGGCCTTCCAATACGAAACAGTGATAATCACGCGGGCGAAATTGCTTCCATGTCCCTGCACCTGCTGTCAGCAATCAAAACTTTCAAGATCAGCTATAAACCAAACGAAGTGCTTCGCTTACGAATAGGAATTCACTCAGGTAAGAGGCGTCATTGAATATCTCAGGAGCTTTTCAAACTAGATCTTTATCGTTATCGTTGACAACTACTGCATGTATAAGAGAATGTATTCATGCGCGTACTCGAGTGTAGTTAGAAAGTAGTGCCTGAAAAATTTGATCGCTTGGGAAGGCCAACATTCTTTAAATTGACTGGTCAAATCATAAAAAAATAGGAAAAACATTTTCGGGTAATAATTTTTATAGATTAGCATTTAATAGCATTTAATAGAACTTTCGCAAATTCCGACATTTAAGTAGTCGGGAGGCACGTTAGCGTAATGGATAGCGGCTCGGAATCGAAGAGCTATGTTCGAATACGTGTAAATTCCATATAGCTAGTGGAGGCATCCTACTGGTTTAGGCGAACCGATTCTTAAAATTTTAAAAGCTTAGCAAACTGGTTTTTGGATTATGCAGAAATAATCCTGTATATTAATAGCCGATATATATTAGGTTGGTGCAAAAATAATGACGTAATAATGTCGTTTTTTGACGTGAAAAATTCGTTAAAAAACGACATTATTACGTCATTATTTTTGCGCCAACCTAATAATAGCTAAAAATATAATTAATACCATTACTGTAAGTTCTGGGGTGACTGAAAGCGGGTTTTCTGTGATGAACATAATTCATTCAGACAAAAGAAATCATCATAAAGTTAAAAATATGGCAAATCTTCTAGTCATAAATTTGATAGTTATTCCATTGGATCTTTGGTACTGCAGGAATTCATTTCAAATATGGCTAAGAAACCATAAAACAGCTGATGACACTTGAATAAAAAAAAAGTATCATGCGTCTGAACAGAAATATGATGAGAACAGAATTGCAATCTGAGAATATCTTAATGTTTTCTATTAAATTATCAAAATGGTTTAATTTTTTTGATGATATATAAAGGGATTTGTTATCCATTCTCAGATTGAAAAGAAAATAAGCAGAATAGCTTCCTAAAGATTACCTCCCTTCATAAAACCAGTTCCTGGAAGATTGTACTGCCATTATTGCCTTTAGACCACTTCAACAGGGTGTAATGGTTAGCTTAATATCACTGAATAGTGGGTTCGATCCTCACTGGGGACCCCATACTTTCTGGCTTGTACCACATCTAAGCTACGCTTAGAAAATTACCATACGCACAAATACGCTAGGGTAAATTATGAATCCATCTGCCCTCCTCAGCTATGAGTAAATAGCAGGGCAGACTGGGTCCTATACCATTGATGGCATCCGTTCTAGTAGGACAACTCTGAATCCAAAACCTCCAATTATGGGTTAAATAGCCTAACCAAACCAGAATTGGTCAAGCGTGTGAGTACGGCTATAACCCTGAGGATATAGTTAATCATGGTGGAGTTCCTAAAGGAATTAGAAGACTATGAATCTGGCTTTATTCTAATGAGTTTTTTTTTTTTATCTTTTAGTGCCGTTTATAGAAGGGGTGGTGTCCTAATCATAATATAAATGCAATCAGAATTTGATCCCTGACTTTTTACACAGTTAAGTAGTTTTTTATTTATAAATGTCAATTTTGAAACTTCATATTTTTCTTTTAATTTCTGAATTTTATTTTTTTTTTTTTTAGTCTTAAAACAATATTTTGTTTCTGAGACTACCATCAATACAGTTTCCATCGGGTATGGAATCATGTTATGCTTAGGTCGATCATTTATATAAATCCTGGTCGGTCTTCTTGTTCCTTGTGAGAAAATCAGTATATATTAATGATAATTCTTCATCTCAATAAAGGTTTTAACGTAAGGCCTATAACAACAAAGATGAGGAAGCTCGTCCGAAAAAATCCGTGTGCAAAAAAGATAATTCATCCTATCAGAATCCCAGACAAAATTCCTCTAAATCCGCTTATCTCCACGCCGTGTTGTTTTCTAGTGATAAAACCTTGTTTTTCTCTTTTGATAAAATAAATAAATAAATAAAAATAAAAAAAAGCAAAGCGAAGAAGGAAAAGAAAAACGAGTCAAAATTTATCAACGTGCTTCTTCTCAGAGTTAAGTTGATTATTTGAAAGTAAAATGTCGTAAATATTCAGATTTCGTTCTATTTTGGAGGTACTGAGTACATTTAGAATTGTTCAAAAACTCATATATGCGATAAAAGAAATATATTTCAGTTAGACTGAGGGCAGCAAAAGAACTCATGATAAGAAAATTTTAAACTCTTTCAGCTTATCTATACACGATATATGCATCCGCCAGTCTCAGGAACCTACATGGAACCTAATTCTTGTTGCAGACGCCTGCACAAACACTTGTGTGTTTCAACACCCATAGACCCAACCGATGTTTTATATTACAACTATGCTGAGCGGATCTTAAATGCAGTTTCTGGGTGATAATGCATGATCTGATTACAGTCGGTTAACAAGACCACTTCGTGCAACTTCGTCTACCTTATTACTACCGCAAGTATTGGGTCTCCCCGTGGTATGGTTTTCAGACATTTGCCAACATGTCAGACTATCTTATTAACCTTTCGTAACTGGCTCAGCAAGTTATTTTGGTTTGTTCTGTTTTACGGCATATCAACCTCAATGGTTTATTTAATGCCGACAAAATTTTTATTGCTAGTAATATTTTTCTTCAAAAATCTATTTCTGGGAATATTTTTCCTTGAAGAAATCTATAGGTGGTTATATTTTTTCCAAATAATGTATAGCTGTGTGTATTGCTAATATTTTTTTTTTTAAATTGCTGCTAATAATTTTTCCTTCAAAAATTATTGCTGGTAATATTTTTTTTATTACAAAGTATTTCTGGTATTAAAACCTATTTTTACACAAGTTTGGGTGTTAACTATTTTCCCATAGCTCGGACCCTAACAGATGCTATCACCCTGGATCTGGGAAAACCAGCAGTTAAGAGATGGCTCCACGCTCCTCAAAACTTCCTGATCAGAGGCCTTCAGCAAGTTGGCATAGTACTCTCCATTAATGGATTTTGAAGATAGTCAATAAACATAATGTCTTATGCATGCCAAAAATCTGAGGCCATCACCTACCCTGCAGACAAAACGACATCGGCTTTCTTTGGAGCAAGTGAAAAGTGGTGTTTTCAATGAGGGATTGTCTCTTTGTCTCTGGCTCACTGTGATGAACCCAACACTCATGCTGAATTAGGAAACGTTCAAGGAAACCGGCTGAACCTGCCTCAAACAGTGTGATACGATCAGCCTGGTGCGCTTTTTATCAGGTATCAGAAGACGTGGCACCCACCAAGCAGAAACCATCGTCATGCCAAGTTCATTATGCAGAATATTCTCATCTCTCTCACGGGATATGCTAATATCATTGGCTATTTGATTTATAGTCAATCGTCTGTGGTGAACACGTTAAATGATTTCTCTTGCAGAATATCCAAACGTAGGGTCATCTTCAAGACTATCCCTTCCTCTCTTAAATTAGACTTCCCAATTTTGCACTGATGAAAAATCTGGGTGTCATCTCCTAATATAGCAATCATGTCAGCATGAATATTCTTTGAGCTAACCCCTTTTTCTGTAAGTACTTGATAACCCCACGATGCCAAATCGCTACTAGTTACTTTTGAAGTCTTCTTTGAACAGTCAAATGCCAGTTGACATGGAAAGAGACATTGTAGTCATTAATAAGAAGAATTGAAATTAATGCATGCAAGATTTCACAGCTCCAGCATCATTCATCCATGATCAATTTATGAACTTGTCGTAAGTTAATGATTGAATAAGTTCATGGCGAGTTCTGCGACAATAAAATATTCGAATAAATTCCCCTATCGCCTCGTTAAATATATGAACTTAACAACTTTACCAAAATATTGCAATAAAAATCATAAATAAGAATGCTGGTCGTTATTTTAAGGAAGTGGGGTGCAAATGAAAAGATTTTCAATAAGATTTTTCCATTTCACTGAAGCAGACGTTAAAAACATTTCTTTTTTTCTTACTTTCATTCATTTTATCACTGAAACCAAATAGTGTCTACGATATGCCATTTCCGTCTTTCCACGCGATCAAAACGAACTACTCCATTATTTATGTGGTATAGGCAGGAGACGTTAAATATTTCTATATTTCCTTCCTTTTTCCTTCTTTCTTACTTTTATTCATCTGATTTGTCTTTCCGTCTTTCCAAGTGATCCAAACGGAAAAGTTCGTTACATATGAAGTATTGACATGAAACTTTGAACACCTCTAACTTTGCTTCTTTCTTTATTGTTTCTTTCTCTCATTTTATCATTGAAACCAAGTAGCGTCTTTGATATGCCATTTCTGTCTCTCCACGCGGTCAAAACGGAATATGACGTATTTAATTCATAACGTATTGGCAGCGCGTAACGGCCGTGCTGACTAAAGGAAGGACTAGCATAATTATGTGTTTATGAACGATCCATTTACATTGCCGATGTGTTTAAACAAATGCTTTAAAAGACAAATATCAAACCAGTTTATTTTGACTTTCTTTTTTTGCAGGTCCGTGTGTGGCCGGAGTTGTCGGCCTTATTATGCCTCGCTACTGTTTATTCGGAGACACAGTCAACACAGCATCGCGAATGGAGAGTAATGGAGAGTGTAAGTAATGATAAGAAAAAAAAGTTATCGAAAATCGCAATCGCCATTAACGTCTGATGATGCCTTACTTGAGTTTAAGGAAGATGTGTCAGGCATTATCAGGAAGATAAATCATAAAAGTTTATATCTGTATCAGCCATTTAAACGATCCTATACATATGTGTTTACTTACTTCAATGATCTCGTTATCAACATGTGTTCTTCTTTTGTTTGCTGTGTTTATTCAGGGCGTGACTGATCATGGCTCTCCACAACTTTCTATACTTTGCAGCTTTAAGTAATGTTTAATTCCTTATTATACTCCCTAGTTCTTGTTTTACCATTCATTTACACAAGTGCTTTACGAGGAGGGTGAAACAAGGAATAGGTTATACTTTCTTTTATTCTGCCCCTCGTGTCTTCAGTATACCCTGTGAGTGTCAAATTCTCCAAGCTCTCTTTCCTCATTAAGTATCCCAAAAACGTCAACTGAATCTTTCTGATTCATATACGAATGTCCTACTTGTTCGCATTTTCCTTAAAACTCTTTTGTTGATTACATGTTCCGCCGTGGCATTCTCAGCATCCTACTGTAGATTTTTCGTCAGAATCCCTCTTGCGCATCTACCATTTGCCAGTGCATTTATTGCCATATCTGGTCTAGTGCGACTGGTCTACTTCTCGAGATTCTTAACAAAATCCAAAGGGAAAACTATTTTAACCTGTTCTCTTTCTAGCTGAATAACTAAAAAGGTTTTTCCAATGATTCTTACGCCAATTGGCATCAAGATGGCTAAGCGTCTTATCTGAAAACCTCGAAAAAAGGAACTCAATTAGTTTAGTGTTATTTTTAGATATTAAACATTTTGCCGGATGGATAATTATGCTGTCGCACCCGCATATATATATATATATATATATATATATATATATATATATATATATATATTGTCATTGTTTTTCTTACTTTGGCGATATATTATTGTTTGTATGCAGTAACTATTTTGTTGCTCTAAATAACTTCTGACGCTTTACATTCACTCTCTGTCCCTCTGTTCTATTATCTGTTCACTCAAAATCATTATTACTCGCTGCTTTCACCCCTGCTTCTCTTGCCTTTCATATGCCCTGAGAGTGTTAAGTTCTCCACGCGCTCTTTCCTTATAATGAGCTCCAGAAGTTTCGTTTTACTGTTTCGTATTGTGAACATCAACTTCGTATTCTCTTTAAAACATTGTCGCTGCTCACAATTTCTGTACATTATACTGTCAGCATTCGTCGATAGCTCTCGACCACTGCAAATGCCGGCTGACAGAATTCACCCCTAACAACCCTATACAGACATAGTCTTACTAGCCTCTTTACACGTATATATTGCTGTGTTATCAAAGGTAGAACAAAACTTAAAACAAAAAATAAAACAACTGTTAATGCTTCCAAAGGTTTTTTTTATTGTTTCATGCAATACAAAAGCTAAAAAAGTCTGTAACCAAAAAATATATACTTACGATGGTTAAAAATGCAGCTATATTTAAGAAATGAGCAAATACCGAATCACCAAAACATTCTGCTGTTGTCGGCTGCTGCGGGAAGTTGTAAATGCTTGACGCTGCCCGCCTAGCCACTCACCAAACAAATGGCCGCTGATTTAAAAAGTTGTGAGGACCATGAGTATAGCCGGACCACGGAGTACCGGATTAAAGAGGCACTGTATACCAATTCTTTTAAATATCCTAATGCGTTAAGATTTCATTGCTAATTCGGAAGAATTAACAAATATTTAAATTTTGGAAACTGTACTAGTAAACGAAAAATCTATTTTAGTTTCTGACATTTTTGATTATTGTAACCATATATGATTGTTTGTTTGTTTTTGTTTGTTTTTTTAGTGAGTTTGTGTCTGAGTTTAAAAGGCGATGAAAAAAATCATTCATTGTATTGTGTCTATTATTTCATAGAAACATTATGTATCTGTTATATCATCAACATTTACTTGTTTCTGCTTTACGGCCATCTTTACGTAGGCGAGGGAAGCGGGCGGTCGTCTGCTTTGATTTTTTTCTCTTTTTTATTTAATTTTTAAATTTATTTTCCTTTGACTTTCCTCTTTCTTGGATTCTATTTAAAGTTTTATTTTTTTTTTTATTTGCTTTATTTTTTCGCGTTTTCGTCTTTTATAATCATCTTTTTCTTCATTTTTTATTTTTCTTTACTTTTCATATTTTTTTTTTCCCCTTTCTTATTTTTCTTTTACTTTCCTTTTTTTTCTTTTTTTTTTTCTTTTTTAACCTTTGTTTTTTTCTACTTTTCTTTTTCCGGTTTCTCTTTTTTTCATTTTCTTCCTTTTTCTTATTATATTTTCCTCCTTTACTTTCTTTCTTAGTTTTTCTTTTCCTCTTCCTGTCCTTTTTTTTTTTTTTAACTCTTTTGTTTTCTTTACTTCTTGTTCTGTTTCCTTTTCTTTAATTCGTTTTTTTTCTTTTCCCACTCATTTCTTACTTCTTTCTTTTTTCTTCCTTCCCTTTTCTTTTTTCTCTTTCTTTTTTCTTTTTATCTTTTCCAATTGTTTCTTTGCGTCTCCTCTTTTTGTTTTCCCTTTCTTTCTCTTTTATGGTTCTTTCCCTTTGTTTATTTCCTTTGCATTTTTACTTCTTTTTTCCTGTTTCTTTTTCTCTCTTTCTTAATTTTAACATTTTCTTTCTTTTTTCTTTTTCTCTTTCTTTTTTCTTTTTCCATTTTCATTCATCCTTTTGCTTTCTTTCTTTTCTTTTCCCTTTTTCTTTCTTTATTTGTCCCGTCTTTATTCTTTTTTAATGGTTACTTTACTAATCTGTTCGTCTTTGTTTTTATCGCAATCAGTAAGCCAGTGTCCAAACCCAATAAAAGTAGGATTTGAATCTTATTTATCATTAACGGCTGATATTTCCCCGGTAAAAAGCCGAAGCACTACATTATTCCTCGCTCCATAACAGTACATTCGCATACGTGTAAAATCCTCATGTGAGATAGATAGATAGATAGATAGATAGATAGATAGATAGATAGATAGATAGATCAACTCCCTATGTCAACTGCTGATATGTTAACGATCATTGCTGCAAAAGTCTAAGCTGTTGCTTTCAAGCATTTGACAGGATATGGCATACTGGTTTTCTTGACAAGTTGTAAGGCTATGGTATTTCTGGGCGACTTTTTGAGCTTGTGAAACTCTCTCTCTCTCTCTCTCTCTCTCTCTCTCTCTCTCTCTCTCTCTCTCTCTCGCCTTCTTGCCTCCCAGTCAAAAATTTAAATGTATTTTTATTGTCTTTTCTTTTTAATGGTAGTTTTCTCATATTCCCTAACACCTTGCATCATAGAGGCTTTATTGCCTTGCTTTCGGAAAGACTGAGATAGATAGATGATAGATAGATAGATAGATAGATAGATAGATAGATAGATAGATAGATAGATAGATACGAAAATACTTAGTAGAGAGAGAGACGAAAATACTGAGATAGATGGATACGAAAGACTGAGATAGATAGATAGATAGATAGATAGATAGATAGATAGATAGATAGATAGATAGATAGATAGATAGATAGAATAGATATGAACAGAATGAGATAGATAGATAGATAGATAGATAGATAGATAGATAGATAGATAGATAGATATGAAAGGAGGGAGAGAGAGACGAAAATACTAAGATAGAAAGAGGGAGAGACAGACGAAAATACTGAGATAGATGGATACGAAAAGACTGAGATAGATAGATAGATAGATAGATAGATAGATAGATAGATAGATAGATAGATAGATAGATACGAAAAGACTGAGATAGATAGATAGATTGATAGATATGAACAGAATTAGATAGATAGATAGATAGATAGATAGATAGATAGATAGATAGATAGATAGATAGATAAAAGACTGAGATAGATAGATTGATGAATAGAACAGATATTAGATAGATAGATAGATAGATAGATAGATAGATAGATAGATAGATATGAAAGATGAATATGAAAAGATGAAAAGAGAGAGATAGAAATAGATAGATAGATAGATAGATAGATAGATAGATAGATAGATAGATAGATAGATAGATAGATACGAAAATGCTGAGATAGAGAGAGGAAGAGAGAGACGAAAAGACTGAGATAGATATATACGAAAGATAGATAGATAGATAGATAGATAGATAGATAGATAGATAGATAGATAGATAGATAGATAGATAGATAGATAAAATGGCACTTTCACTCTGTGGAAATACAACTCCAAAAAAATTATATATAAAGAAATCCCATTTAAATTAGAAACTGCTTTATAAAATCTCTACACGAAAGCAAATGACTCTTTATCAAAAAAATGTATGAAACCTTTTGTTTATTCATATAGCTTACCAGACCCTTTGATGGAAATAAGCACCTAAAAAATCGAAACTGAAAACCGCTGACCGTGCTAGGCGATTTCAGTTGATAAAATGGTTTCATTCTTCTATCATATCAACGACAAACAATGAACCAATGTCCGAAACAGGAAATTCTATAACTGCAGATAAAAAATTAAATTCGAATCCTCCTGAAAACAATAACAAAAACGTTTTTAATAATGTTCAAGTGTCGACAACAGAATCCATTTTACAGTTTTACAGTGTACCATAGAATCTATTCTGCAATTTTAAAATAATTGTTCACTGTTTGTTTCTTATTTTGTCTTTCCCTTTCTTTTTCTCTCTCTCTCTCTCTCTCTCTCTCTCTCTCTCTCTCTCTCTCTCTCTCTCTCTCTTTTCAAATAAAAAGACATCCTCGAGATATGGGGGGTTGTTTTCAGTCAGCGCGAAAAAAAAAAATAACAATTTAGAATTAAATAAAAAATTTTTCGATAACAATTCTTTTCCGTTAAGTTTATTGTCTGTTTTTTTTCTGTCTGTCGCTCGATACAAATTCACTTTCCTTTTCTCTCCAGAAATATACGCATATGTGTGCAGTCTGTCATATTTTGTCATACAAATCAATGTCTTTACAATAATATTGTCTTTAAAACGATGGGTGCTGGTTAAATTCTCAAGGCATGCTTATATTTATATGATAAGTATATAATGTTTACTTTCAATTAATATATGTTTATTAGAAATATTTAATATCTGTCTATATTTCTAAGGTGAGGTATTGTAATTATTTACATAGTTCAGACTGTTCTTTTCATCTTTATTGTCATATTCACGACGTTTCGGACGTTGTACGTTCCGACCTTCTTCAGCTGATTGGAATTTCGAGCTGAACCTTTTAATTCAGCCACCGAGGTAGACTGTTAGTTCCATATGCCATGCCACTTCCGTATGCCTCAGTTATCTCCCTTTAACTCAACTCTTCAAATTTTTTGTTCACCACCGCAGTAGCCAGGTATTGAACTCACAACTCTTTGGGTGAAATCACTGGATCCAACCACCACTGTTATCCACTGGGCCATGTGTCCTTAGCGGTGAACAACAACTAGGAGAGTTGAGTTATAGAGAGATAACTGAGACATCCGGAAGAGGCATGGCACGTGGAGCTAGAACAATCTAATCCGGTGGACGAAATAAAGGGTTCGAATCGAAATTCCAATTACCCGAAGAAGGCCGAAGCATACAGCATCTGAAACATCGTGAATATGACAATAAGGATGAGGACAAGAGTCTAACAATGTAAATTATGTAAATGATAGAAAATATTTACAATGACTAATTTGGTGGTGGGACATATTATTATACAACTCATGCGTTAACCATCATATTGCAACCAAATATAAATAATAATATCCTTTTATTCTTTGACTCTGTAAACTCCCCTTTTTCAGTCAGTGCGGAAAAAAATAGCAATTTAGAATTAAATAAAATATTTTTCGATGACAATTCTTTTCCGTTAAGTTTATTGTCTGGTTTTTCTAGCTTCAGTTAATAGCTACCTGTCTTTTTTATCTTCATAATCTTCACTTACATTCATATCATACACCAAATTCATTATTGCCTTGTTAGCAGTCACCCTCTACCTTGACTGGCTCTCTGGCATAATATAAGGTCACGACATCACCACGCCTGGTGTTGCTTCTCTAGATTCAGTAACGAGTATGTTTTCACAGGGTGGAGTTGCTAGCTACGCCAATAGTTTCTCTTCTTGCACTTCCCGCCTGTAGAACTCCCTTCCGTTTACTTGCTTCCCTGACAACTACAAAAAAAAAATTAAATAAACGAGAAAATTGAAAAAAAAGGATATGCAATGTAATCGATGCTGATTTTAGTCACTTTCTCACCAATGTGATGTGGCTTCCATCTGTCTTTTCTTCAAATATTTTCATGGCAACTGCTCTGACGAGCTTTTTACCTTGATGCCCCGTCTACATGAATTTAAGCGTGCTACTAGATTGGCATGTAGGTCCCACCTTTTTACTGTTGAAATAGCTAAATGCAATCTCCACTTCTACTCCATCAGTTTCTTTTTCTAACTCCCTTCCGTTTACTTTCTTCCCTGATAACTACAATCTCTGCATTCTTTAAAAAATTTAGATGCAACATCAATTGCCATCTTCTGTCTTCTTGAATCCCGTTCATCTTTTGTCCTTTCCTCAATCCTCCCTATTCTCAGTCTTTTCTCTCACTTTCACTCCCTGTAAACCACTGCGTACTAGTGGCATTTACGCCTTGCTTGGGGTGAAATGATTAAATAAATAGTCGTACATCTCCTATATTAATTGCCAAACATTGCTAGAGATTCTATGTTATTAAGCTGGGGCAAATCAAATGCATTCCTACATTTTCCAACGGTATTTGAAAAAACGCGGAAGTGCTGGAAATGACCGGAAATTGTGTAGATCCCAGATCGCCAACGCCCTGAAGAAGAATACCTTCTGAGATGATAAGCTCTACGATACGCAGACATCTTAACATATGAAACAGAACGCCCCGATTTATAATTACAAAAAATGATACAAGTTCCAGCGAGTGAAATTAATCTTGCTTACAACACATCAATAACCCTTATGAATCGAAAACCTCATACCTTTTAATCTAATACAAGAGGTGAATACCTAAATTTAGAATGAGAAAGAGTAAAACACACAAACCAGTAAATACTTTTTTTTTTCAGAACATCCTTACACATCACATTTTACTTTTATTCAAAGCATACCACTAGTGAGTGATCTTCTTGAGTCTGCATATCGGTAGAATACAGAGGCCGCTCTTATTTTTGTGGGTTGGACGGGCAACACTAACACAGTTTTTATTTTGGTTTGAATGATTTATTTATTTCTAGATTTCTGAGATGAGGTATTGTAACTATTTACAATATTTACATTTTTTGAACTATTGTCCTCGTGTTTATTGTCATATTCACGACATCCCGGCGTTCCTGC